CTGTGGGAGTAGTTCTAGAGGGGAGTGGGTGCTCCCTCGTTTGTTTTGGGAGGGGAGGGGAGAGGATTGTGTTTAGAGATGGAAGGGGAAGCGATTACATGTTGATTAATTAGTAACACGCCGATATCCTTGCGTTCCTCTGTGAAATTGTGAAAGGCTTTTTCGATGGCGGAGGTTTCTGTCTTTGCGTCGACGACGAGGAAGTTTCGTTGTGAGTCCGGTGGGTCTGTTACGTGCTGTTGTTTGTTTTTGGTGATGGTCAACTTTTAGGGCACAGCTCTGCGGTGAACGGGGAGAGGGGGACCGGAAGGGTTACTGAGATCCTGCAGAGGAGCCTTTGTGTGTTTTTTTGATCTTGGTGTGTGAAAGTCAAATAAAAAGTTCTTTTCATTTACTTACGCCGATTCCTGCTAGTAGAAGGCCGGTGACAGAGCTATGAGACGGTAGAAGAGGGGGAGATGGTTAGATACATTGATCAGGGCGCAAATAGGGGAGGTTTTGCCGGGATTACATTGGGACATACTCTTCATCACCTATGACGGCCAGAAATTGACGGTCCTAGTAGAGATATTGGCGTTAGAATATATTAATTGAGGGATATGGCGGGAGGGGAGGTGAAATGCGGACCTTGTATGTGCTTTGGGGGGCCGCCATGATTTTAGTACTTCGCTCAGGTTGAAGGTGCCTGGGGTGACGAGACAAGAGGCCGCACAAAAATATTTTATGTTGATATCGCGGGTATAATATAGCGCTCTACGCACACATGTAAAAGCCACGTAGATTAGTTATTCAGGAGCTGACTGGCCTCTTGATGTAGAGAGAGAGCAAGTTGCTGATAGAAATCAGGTGGAAGCTCGAGCGTGAGGTTATGCGGCTTATGTAACTAATTCACTCGTTGCACTCAACCAGCAAACCAGAAGCTCCTTTTTGGGTTCAAATCACAACAAAACAAAAAACATCCAACCGCCGCTCAACGCCGCCAACGACGACAATGCCAACCTGTTGAGCTGAAGATAACAAGCATTTGTTTGCCTCGTTATCTCCTCTTCCAGGCTCGTTGCTAAGCATCTCGCCCATTATGCCGCCGCTCATCCGGCGCCGACCACTTTCGGAACGGATAAAGTCATACTTGAATCCCCTCGATTTCCTGCTATGGCTATCAGAGGAGCTTGGTTCGAGTGATTGGGAACAATGGGAAAAGGAGTGGGCGATCCCCTTTGGGATTGGGTTAAATGTGGTGTTCCTCATAGCACGTGCGAATAGCTGTACCAACAGCAGCAGGATTGAGGACGACGTCTTTGGAGATGTTGTAGAGACGAGTTTGTTGAGCTGGTTTGTACGTTGATTGATGGACATATCCTCTTGTCGCTAATGAACCATTTTACGGGAGGTCAGCAATCCAGAGACTTGTGGACTAATGTGAGCTGTAATCGCAATTAATAGGCTTCTTTCCTTGTTCACTTGTTAGCCTTCGCATCGATTTTCAACGCGTTCTACACCTTCTGGCGCAAACGCCATTATCGACTGTTCGAAGCACCAATTGACAATGTTCCGGCGACCCCTTCCGCACACCGAGTCCCAGTGAATTCGTCACCCATGGTTTCGTCGCCAATGCGATTTTTCTCTAGTGTGTTGTCCGTCGGGTCGGCGGAAGCAAGGTCACACCCAAACGCGCAACGGGATGTTTGGGAGTTAGGCATGTGGGATCCTCATCCGCTGTCATTGAGGCTATTATGCCTTTTCAGCCCAGGGCATGTCGTTATATACTGGCTCTTCCTCCCCACCTCCGCAATAGATCCGCGACCTAGCGTTACTATTGTAACGACTCTATTTCTTGCAACCCTACTAACAGTTCAAATGTCAATGCTATCATCCTCCTTCTCTCAACAATTGAAAGACTCGATGTTGGTTCATAAAGAAGTTCTCAATGAATACGATACCAAATTTGTCCATCCCCGAACACAGCCTATGATGCGCAGCGTGGCAACCCAACATTCGGAAGAAATGTCATACAACGCCAATTTTGATGAGGCGTATAATACTGTGAACACCTATACTCCAGCAATACGTAGGGGCTTCAAAATTAGCCCCAACCCCAATTACGTCAGTCACATAGACCCGGAAGGCGCTCTGGAAAAATACTGCCAACCCCCTCGATCTTCCACTTCAACTCCCCGTGTATCATCTACTAACGCCGACTTTTCTACCCCTACTTACGGTGTAGATGCATCATCCCCACTCCACTCCCGTAGTTCAGCCATTCGACAGCCTCAGTTTAGATCCGTGTCTTCTACGGCTGATGGTGGGAGCCTGGGGGTATATTCTCACGCGGCATCCCCTCTTAGAAAGGCAACATCGACCCATTTCGACCACAGAAGCGGATATCGTGGCGATGAACTTGACACTAGAGATCGACTTCATAGCCCAGTAAAACTCCCATCGAGCCCGCTAAAGAGGTCAAGCGTCCCTGGCGGAATAGGAAGTCCTGGACCTTCTCAGAAGTGGACCCATCTCACTAACGCAGGCCGCGGGTTAAGACGTGACAGCGGACGGTTCTGAGAAGAGGAGTTACCTTATTTTGAAGAAACAAAAATTTCCATTTGGTTTATATATATGTATGCAAAGTGCTGTGTTTTCCGGGGACTTACATTTTCTCGGATTCATTACTTTAGTTACTTATATCGCGAGCGTGTTTCTTCTGGATAAGTCGAGTCTTGGTAGCATTTTTGGCGCATTCCGGTGTATATTCCATTGTTTACTTTTTCACCCCGCCCTTTGGCTTTCTCCTTCATATACCCGCGTTAATGTGTCATGCGGTTCAAGTTGAGGTGTACCATTTTGAGCTCCAAACTAAATATGGAGAGACATCTCCCACGAGATAACTCTCTGAGTGGCGATCGCTTTCTCAACGGGAAGGAACGCCTTTTGCAACACCGCGCCTTCTAATATTGGACTCTGGTCGTCTGCTAATCGCACCTTCCCCGGGAACGGTTCTTCCCGGCGTAAATTGTCAACGCCATCTTCGTTTTATATAGAACCTCAATCAATACCCGCACCAGTGGCTGTATACACATATCCGCTCGTTTATTTATTCCTGGCGTGGGATTCTAGGTTGCAAGCAACCCGATGCCGAAGTATCCTTAAAATAACAATCCAGGCAGTTTAGCATGCCACGATGCCGCGCGTTGTTTCTGGAAACCAATCAAGTTCTATTGCTTCCACTAAGCCAACTCTTCTTAGTCGTCGCGAAGACGGCGTTCGAAGGAAGGACCAGCGATCCTCCTCGTGGTCCGCTTGGATCCCCCCTCCGCTACTTGGACAACCTGATAACAAGTCTTCTCGGGTCAGATCCAGCAGTTTAGGACAACGAGGCAGTCCAGATATTGCACCAACATCCGGACAGAAAGCGCTAGCAGAGAAAAGAGGTGGTTTTCGAAAATGGGGCAAGAGAAAGGACAAAAAGTCTGTCACTTTTGAAGAGGATGTAGCGGTGAACCTTCAGGATTGTGATAGCGCATCCGGAACGGTACGAAGGCAGAAACTGTCCACGGTTGGTTCGGTATCTGGTATCTTTTCTCGAACAACACGAGACGAGGAGCAGAATCGTGCGCCGGATCCAGTCAGTAGACTCGATTTCGCCAACCGTTCCGGCCCTGTTCCAGGAATTTGGGTCGGACGACATGCTCCTAGTCAAGAAGGGACTCATCATGAAGGGGCGGATCGTGAATACTGGTTGAGTCTTCGACGCCAAATCGAAGAGAGCGCGAAATTGCAGGACGAACTGCATAAACGCCAAGCTACCAAAAGCGGAAAAAAAGAAAGAACCAATCGCAAGCATCAGCGTACGGTGAGTCGCGATGATCAGCTGATTGCCCGTGGTGCCAATCCCCGAACTGGTGTAGTAAGTCCCAGCATCATGAGTGGTGGTAGCGACTCTAGTTTCTGTGACTCCCGGGAGGAGAATGCCACTCTTCAGAAGTGGCGTCTGAAGGGCAACGAGTGGATAAGCTTGGACAAGAACGAAAAGTCTCCATTTCCCTCGCCATCCGGAAATGAAATTGCACAAGCCGAATTCCCTGGTTTGCAGAGAAGCAAGACCGAGTCTGTTGGATTGATCACTTCTGCTCCCCCGACAGAGTTTGCACCAAATTCGATCAACCCGGAAGACAAGTTTGTTGTCAACATGCCCTCCGCAAGAGAGCCATCGCCGCTGACAATGACTGCCCAGCAAATTGTGGACTTCCAGAAGACTCTCGAACGCGTTCATCATGAAGGTGAACAAATGCTGGATCCGGACACCCTTCCAACACCCAGACCCGTTACCCCTACAGGGATTAGCACCCCTCCCAGGCGACTTACGAAAAATTTTAAGGAGAAAATTATAGGACGAAAAAGGGACGCTAAGTCTCCATCACCATCCCTTGCTTTTGTAGAACCTCCGGCCCAGGGCTATGTCATCCACGCCGCTATAACTAGTCCCAACAAGCCTGTTCCTGACATCAAAGTGACGTCCTCTTCTGGCGATCCTGAGTACGTCAAATTATGTAACGAGGAGATGGGTCAGGGGCAGCCCACATCTCATGCACATGCTTGTAGCATGAACGGAGGTCCTTTTTTAGGCCAAAGCGGGGGCCATGGAGAGAAATGCACTCAGATCTCTTGGCCCCGAACAGCGCCCCGTCTCCATTGCCTTTCGCCTCAGTCGATGAACGCCCGCAAATTCCTAACCCAGAAGCAAGCCTTCCAAGCAAACCTGATAAGCCGCACAGCATGCGAGGAAGAATTGGCAGAGAGAAGTCAAGTATATTACCCTCTGACAATGGCGCAAATTTTACACGATCACAATCTCAGTGGGCTCCTCAGAAAAAGTCCAGGAGGCTCTATGAAAGGAGGGTCCGTGGCCGTCGATCCAGTTCTGGATTGCAGCCAGCTACACAAATTGCCAGAACAGGAAAATCTATCCACTATCATTACCACTACGACACCCACGTCCACAAGCACTACATCTATGACTCTCCCACTAGCAATGGATCAACGCCCATTAAACCACGATATCAATCCCGGCACCGATTTCAACGCCAATTCAAGCACCATTCCCGGAAAGATAGGCCTTTGTCACTATGGAACATGTTGCAATCATCAGCAATGCCCCTGCTTGTCCGAAACTTCGGGCAACAGCGTTCTTGCCATCGAGGGACGAGCAGAGCAAAATATCAATCGCGGCATCAGAGAAATCCCACTAAATCTCAGCCGAAATATGCATGGGAGCACCCATATATCAGGACTAAACGACCCTAGTAATTTACCCTTCACTGAATATTGTGCCCCTTATATACAGAACGGATATTTCAACCCCGCTAAGAAAATTCACAGCGCCCAGAGGTCTCTGGTTAGCACTGGCTTGGGTCCTTCGCCCATGTATGTGAACATGGTTCCGGTCATGAATAAGGGCGCCGTATTCCAAGAGGATGCTGTGAAGAGGGTAGTACGATCAGACTCTGGAAGTGTAAATTCCCTAATGAGTGGACACTTTCGACCCAACGCCCAAAGTGACAATGGCCGAGATATCGAGGATCGAAAAAAAGATAATTTACTCAACAATCAAAATAATTCCACACCTGCTGTCCAATTCCTCCATTATATTGTTCGTGAGCGCCATACTTTCAATTTCCTGCGCCTGATAGCCGTCCAGTTCCTCGCCATGGCTCTGCACTGTCTCAGAGTCACCTTTAGTTTTTGCGATTTCTGTCACAAGTTCTCGAAAACGGGTGTTCTTCCACGCGCACCTCGGAGCTTCCACGATCTCGGGATCTTGATTTTAGACACTGGGCGAGCATGCATTTACTTTGCTGTATTGGTTGTTGCATGCACCTTTTTGGCAAGAGGGTTGGGCTTTCTGGCTACGGTCGCTTCATGGCTAGTTTGGGCCCTAAAACTTTTGACTTTGGCGTAAATCAAAAGTAAAATTTTGTATCAATGAGATGGGGGAGTCAGTCATGGGATATTTGCCTCTGTTTTGCCGAACATTAGTTACTATTCCGTTATATCTTTCCGCTAGAGCCACCCCCCGCCCCCCAGGTCCCTGAGTTGGACAAGGGGCCCCGGACGGATATCACGACGCGCCTTTGTGATTATTTTTATCGAGATTGGTCTACCTAACTAACAACCCGATAGGAACGTAGAATTCCATTGTATTATCTCTCTCTTGAGAATAGTCATAGTCATTTTCTCCCACCTAGTAGCTTGGTAGTCAACAGTGTGCATTTGTTCGAAAGACACGATAGCCCGATAGAAACGCATAGGATTCAGTTCATGTCGATACATTCGTAGACACGAAGACTCCTCGCGCAGTAGAAATTGCAACTTTTACATATGTATTTATTTACCTTGGACTGCTTGTCTGATTTTGATAGAATGCTGCATGCTCTATCTCATCAACCCACTTCCGTCTTCTTCTTTCTCCTTGAAAGCACAATAATGACCTTCTCCCTTCTCTCCCTCGACTAAAATGAAACGTTTAGGCTAGTTGGCACTTTTATATTCAAATCGACCTCCGTAAACAGGGAAAAACAGAGAGTCAGAATTTGTGAACGTCACAAAAGGGAGGGGGATGGTCTAAGAGGCGGGCCCAAAACTTCATTCGACAGAAATTTGAGCCGAACCTAGTAAAAGGGGAAAACCGGGAATGTGTGATAATAAATATGACAAATGAAGGAAATAGAAAAAAGTGAAAAAAAAAAGAAAAAAAAAAAAAGTGAAAAGAGAGAAAAACTGGCCCGCATTCGGAATTTGTTTTTTTTATTTTTTTATTTTTTTATTTTTTTTTAAAAGATATTATTTTCTTTTTCTTATCTAATTTCCCAAATGTGTTGAATACATATTTCCAGGCAAATACAGTAGATTAAGTAATTTTTTACCTGATCGTTGTAATTTGCCATACAGCTTCGTTGCGGTCATCATAGTCATTTTTTTCTTTTTTTTTTGTTTGTGTATCCCATGTCCATTCATCCCTTGGTTTTCGTCCTGCTTTTCTGGGTATTGTTGAAAATAAAAGAGTAAAGAAAAGAAAGAAAAGAAATTAAGGAAAAGAAATTAAGGAAAAGAAATTAAGGAAAAGAAATAAAGAATCATGAAGGAAACAAGGTTCTCCAGTGTTAAAATGCTGTGATTTGCATGCTTGGTTTTTATCTCTATATGGTGTTGAATGTCATGTTGAAAATAGTGGTCATGTATTGCGTTCGTATATGTATGAGAATGGCGGCGGAGGTTGAAGTACGTGCGGGGAGTAGGAGCCGCGCGAGAAGTGCGCGCTTATGTTGAATTATTCTTAAGGAGAAATTGGAAGAGAGATATGTTGATCGAGAATTATTTATGGAATGGCGCTTAGGTATAGAGGGTTATGGGAAAATCGTGAGATCATGTAGTGCGCTTGTTGAATCGCGAGTCCATGATGGGGTGCTGCCGATATCGCCCGGCATTGAAGAGATGGATAGGTGGGAAATAACGGAAGATTAGTTGGAGTTACGCTCTTCCATCGACTTAGTTGCTTCCGTACAACTGTCGTTGACCTCTGTTTGAGGAAGCTGGCCATTTTGTTGGGCAATATCAACAGACTCGGCCGCTAGGGCGATGGGTTCTATTTCCGTATCCAAGTTTTCGACTTTGAGGTCCTTGAACAGGTTGAAGATGTCATGCGTTTTGTGGAAATCGTTGTTCACTTAGCCAACAGGTATTAGTAAAATTATGTTCCGAACCTTCAACGAGTATTTATTTAGAATGCCTTACCAATATTGACCAAATACCAAGTGTCCATCACTTGTTCAATGAGGCGTCTGCTGAGGCTCGATGGGGCGTGGCACTTGGCCCAGTCGTCTCCGAGTCGATACGCTTCATCCTTCCAGGCCAAGAAGCTGATTGTTTCAACAATGGTTGGTTGGATAATCTCTTTGGAAGCGAATATTCCCCACGTAACTGCATTTGGACTGTCGGTCGTGTTCGTCTTCAATTCACCCTTTTTATTGACACAGTAATATGTGAGGTCAGAATTTTGTTCAATGCGGCTAATAACATCATCGATCATTGTGGGAGAAATAAGGAGTTCCAAGTATGCCTTCTGATAGACATATCCGTTTTTCGGACCCCATCCATAGATTGGGTGAGAAGAGGGCATGCCATCAATCGCAGGTTGGGAGTTAATAGTCAGGAAACCCTTTCGATTCAGGTCGAGCAAATCTGATTTGATGATTTCTGTTTCCTCTGTAACAGCGCCCTCGCTCCATGGAAGTCTATCAAGGCTTCCATTCAAGAAACGTATGAAAATCTCAGATAGCTCCTTTAGTGACTTTGGCTCTCCCCAAAGTTTGATATTTTGCTCGTTGGTTCCTTTCAAGCCAATGCCATAAGTATCGAGCTCTCCAAAAGCAGGGGACCGAGAGTCAGTCCAGCGACCATTTGGATATTCATCCCATGTCTGCGTACGAGCCACGTATGATTGATGTCGGTGCCTCCAAAAGATTGGTCGCACATCTTCTTCCCTTCGGCCAAGTCCAAGTGACTGTCGCCACGGAAGTGGCTTCTGCAGGGGAGTTTTATGGGAGGGTATCAATCCTAGTTCGTCCAGAATCATTTTGGTCGCTTGTTGCAAATTCATCGTGTAGCTATGGGCTTGAGGTTAATATGTGAGTGACCATATTATGATTAAGATTAGGAAAACAGAAAAACTTACAAATGCAGGTGATAGATTCCAGAGGCGAGTATTTTCTTGCACATATCAGCCACAAGAGATTTGCCCAAATTCCTCACGGCTGCATCGTCATTCTTCACAGGTTCCAATGCTTCCAACCAGTCGGGAGGGATTCGAATTTTAGTCCAGTTGGATCTTCTAATAAACGCAGCGTACGTGTGAATGGGCATTATACCGGGTATAATTGGTACCGTGATCCCCTTTTGGCGACATCTTTCGACCCAGGTCAAGAAGTTATCGACATCGTAGAACATCTGCGTAATAATAAACGTACCTCCCGCATCAACCTTTTCTTTCAGATGTTCCATAAGGAGTTCTGGGTCATCTTGATCATCGCAGCCTTCGGGATACCCAGCAACTCCAATATCAAAATGGTTCCCATATTTATCACGAATATATTTGACCAAATCTTTAGCGTAACGGAACCCACCCTCCGTAGCTTCCCATTTCTCTTTTTCTCGGGGAGGATCACCACGCAAAGCCAAAATGTTCGTGCACCCTGCCTTGAACGCACTCTGAAGAGCAGTGTCCACTTTCTCGCGGGGCATGTCCGTGCAAGTGAGGTGCATACAAGTTTCCAGGCCATAGACCGATTGCGCCACATTCACCATCTCACAAGTCAACTCTGACAGCCGCCCTCCCGCACCCCATGTGATATCAATAAAGGATGGTCCATATCCATGCATACGGTCCATCCGATCGTAAAGATTCTGAACACCTTGCGCCGTTTTCGGGGGGAAAAATTCGAAGGAAATGCCGGGCCGCCCTGTGGCCTCCGCATGAGCCAACTTGTCCTTAATATGCATATTGATGTTGTCCTAGAGCTGAGAAACTAACGGGTAAGCATTGCACGCGGAAATCGCTATGAGGAAGAGGCATGTTCGCGCAAATGGTCTGAACCGCTCGCTAGGGAGATAGGTAGGACATTTAAACCGGAGAAGAAGTAGGAGACTCTTCTCTTTCCTCAACCATAACTGTGGATAGGAGATATACTAACCTGTGAAGCCCTCACAAAATAAAATTAAACACAGTATCTTCAAACCAAATTTCTGCAAGATTGATAAACCCGCAACCAAAAGAAACACAAACCCACTGCCCAGCGCTATCTTATTCTTCCACCTCTCTCCTTTATCTTCTATTCCAACCCTAACACTTCAACCAAGGTATCGTTTCCGAGCCCACCGGTCCGCTAGCTCCCGCAACATGTACGGCTGATTAGAACTAGAACTATCTGTTACGTTGGCGGAACAGCGTTCGTTAACAAGATATCCTGCAATGAAAAATCCAATAGAACAATAGGCTGGACAGAGAAGGAATTGGGGGAAACGGAAGGAAGAAGTGCAATGTTGATGTGGCTGTGGCTTGCAATTGATAGATACCAAGGCGGGATCGGAATAATGAAAATAAGAAATTGACTAAGAGGTAGGCTGGACCCGTGGATGCTCACCTGTTATATTTCCCTCCTTGATTATGATTAAGGCGATATAGGGCGACACCCTCGAAGAGCTTGTTAAACGCCGACAAAAGGTTGTGCAACAAGGGGGTAGAGCAGAAAGAATCGACGATGTTTGGCGAGATGAGATGGTAAGGCGTGGGATGTGGAAGTAGCCGAAACTAGGACGTCGGATTAGAGTTTTGGCCTAGTCCGTTTCTGGATGGTGCAGTGGGGGGCTCCTATGTAAGCTTGGCCGGCGTCTTGTTTATTTGTTTTGTTTGCATATTTATGTGTTTCAAACGAAGAATAATATGTATTGTCTGGTGGTTCCAACTTGCGTCCCAAGCTCCCCTATATTTATAGATCAATTCCCAGGATGTGGACCCAAATTACCCTTGGTCACCCCTTAGATGACTGTCGCCAGAAAGAGGTAAAGTCAACTAATTGAGAGCTGTCATCATTTGGTAATGGTCCTGGCCATCTGAGAAGCAAGTTAGGCCTTGAAAATTAGCTGAAACACATGTGAAGTCTAATCTTGAAGACATTCAACATATTAGCTTCGTCTATCGTCTCATATATGGAAAGCAGAACATTCCCTCAAAATAATAAGACACAGGACATCACTTCTTTCAGCTTTTCCATAAAAAAGATTGAAAAATCTTGTTAAATTAATCATTATTTTTATCCCCATTCATTGCTTTTCAGAGGTACTGTACCTTGAATAGAAGGTTTACTGTCTCTGATCTGAGTAGAATATGTTTTAGTGATAGCAGAAGGGACTATAGGCGGGCAGGCACACAGGGAATAACAGACCTTTTTCAAGCACAAGCTACAATTAAAATCAGAAGTGAGGGAATATATGCTAACCACTATCCCATTTCTGTTTAGAATGAGGCATGTGAAAGTCCAAGTTGAAACGTTTCATCATACATTATTTATGTAGCGTGGGCGGCCAGGGTAAATGACAGACAAATGCATCTAGTTCTCCGCCCTTCGTAAATAGGAGGGAGCAATAGATACAAGATAGAAGTAGTGGGATTGGTTAATACAGGTTTAGAAATTCTGTCACACGAAAGTGTGAAAAAGAGGATGAAAAATCAGGAGTGAGCAATAAAGACGGCAACAGATCACTTCACCTAGAAAAAATGGGTGACATGAAGCACAAGAACAGTGGGAATGACAAGCCAAACGGAGACTTAATAGCCGAAGAAAATCGGCAACACCTTAGGAAATATCACAGTGTCAAGTGGATCTTGTTAAAACGGTGGTAGAGAAATCTCAGGGAGTTTAAAAATCAGTTCTCAAGGTCATGGCACTATCCACTGCAACTCCTATCGAAAACAGGTCAGAAAATCCAACCTAGTCCTGTTCCAAGGTGTATTCCGTACGCTCTGTCTCTTAACAGCAGCCTTCAGTGTACTCGGCATCGTAGTCGTGGAGAGCAATGCCCGCTAGGAGGCGCAGATCAAGGTGATCGATTTCGTAATCTAGGAATTGAAGCAAGTGACGAACAGGATGTCAGTAGATCATCAGTAACCTTTGATTTGTAAGAGTAAAGATAGTCAAAGAATACAATACCCTGACGTTGTGAGAGAGACATATACAATTGGGTGGGAATGGACTTACCAGGTATATCCCTGTCACGTTTTGATTCTAGCGCTAGGGCGTTGGATTCAGCTTCCATAAAACGCTGTTTCAAGTCATCGACTTTTCCCAGCACGTTTCCGATAACTTGGACGCCGTAGTAAACTGGATGGTTCCACATCCGAAGCAGGCGTTGCACGACCGCGAAATTGTCCTGACAGTGCATCGAATTAAACCAGGCCTGATGTTGTAGGAGATTCACGGAAATTTTCATTCTGTCGCCGTTGCGACGGGAGGCATATTCGCGATACCAGCCCACAAACATGCGGCTATCATATGTGATGATAGCTCCAGACAGGCGAGCACCCTCTTTCTCAAACGACAGAAGATCTACCTCGCGATTAGCGTATGAGTAAAAAAGGATAAAACCAAAGCTGTGAAAATTGGGAAACGGTTATTTTCAAACAAAACATTAATAACACACAAACCTTGTGGACAGCCATAAGTCAGGAGACGGATCGGAATGGCATGGTCCTCACGCCTTACTTGGGATACGAGACTTAGCTTTCGTTGGTAAGAGGCCCTGTCCCAGTTTCGTTTGTCCCTCTCGGTCCATTCGTAGGCGGTAAAGTAGACTTCAGGAATGCAGAATGGCATGAACGGTACAGAAGCAAGAATATAAGTGCATATACCCATCCCAAGTGCGCGTCCTACTTCGTTTAGAGCCAGGGCAAACTTAGCTGGCGCGGGGAGATAAGGCTCTCCATGTTCAGGGCGATTCCATGGCGGGAAAAAACGTCCGTTCTCATCAACACCCTGGCTGAGAGCAGCTTCCTCAGGTAGACCTGTCGGTTTTATGGCTTCAATTTGGTCAGCCATCATAATTGTTGACTTGCTTGTGATATAAGATGTCAGGATGTGCAAATATTGTGAAAAGGGCAGCTTTTTCTTTGAATAGTTCAGGGATGCATGTATAACACAGAAACAAAAATAGATAATAACTGAAGAAGAAGCAAACAAGTGAAGAGAAGAACAGCGGCTACTGTGTTCATGATGTGAGTCAAAAGACATTGGATTAGTCGGCACTGTAACATCACAACATTGAATATCAGTGTCTGGGTTTGTCAGAAAGCCATCTCAATCAAACCCTGCATGAAGACTTACATTTAAGACACCACAGCATATAAAGGGCATTACTATGGTCTATCCACTTGTCCATGGATGTATCAAGCCTGGAATGAGCCTCCCTCTTCCTCTCCTATAATCAGCCCTTTGCTAGTAATTGTGGTTTGCATTGAACCCGGGCTGGTAATGCCTCTTGAACATGTACGTAAAGGTTGTTTTGAGAGGTATAGTCACTTTTCAAAAATCCACATTTAGAATAGGATAGAGGGAATTAGGGAGATTTCAGTAGCCATAATAAAGGGAGTAAGAAATACCAGGCTTAGGTAGGGAACTACCTGGGGATCAACCTTCTTGCGAGTATCTTGACAATGCCCGTAAAGAGATATATCCCTCGGAATGTAAACCCCCAAGGCTAATAACCGGCAGATTCCGGTGTCGAATGGCGGAGAGGGATGTCCTGAGGAGAACACTAGGGTATTCGGCTCTGCAACGACCACTGGGGGCCAATGCCTCCTTTTAGAGGAAGACACCCATATCTGGAAAGAGAAAAACAGGAAACAAAGAAAGAAAAAAAGATATCAGAGGATCGTATCGCTCCACTTAGGTATTGATAAGAAATCCATGTAAATAAGCTGAGACGAAATTAGCGGTTTAAAAATGATCAGGTCTTGTCTTCTGTCTCCAGAATTCATTAAGTGAAACAAAGGGACATACTGGGCGACGGTTCTGTTGTGTTTAAAATATTACCTGCACGCGATCCGCAAAGATAGATGAACAAGTGCGTGATTTATATTAGCATCGATGTACCTCTCAATAGGCATAATCAAAAACACGCACTTCGAACACGAGATTCGAAAGAAATGGAGAGCTTCGGAATAAATAACAACACAGCTGACGCTCCGAAATCAAATCCAATCAGTTCAGTTCAATAATAAACCTCCCGCCAATGATGTATTATCCACAGCTTGAAACCTGCTTCCATTGTATATATTGCATGAGGTTTATTTTATACTTTCCATGAAATATCCAAAACACCCTTTCCATAAAGAGCGGAGATCAGGAGATGGCCTCGTTTCGAGTCCATGGCCCCTGTAGTGCTACTTGGAAAATGCTCTCCATTACCTATCCAATGTGAAAGATAATTAGCGCTGAAGGAAACTTGTGATAATCAAAAATCTCAACAGGAAACTCACTTTGATACAAAGTTCTTGCGTAAAACTTTGGCTGTGGCGGCGCTGCTGGACATGGAGCTGGGTCAAGTCCCGTACCCCGTCGTACCTCAGCAACCCATGATGGCGCATTAAGCTTCTCAGGGCTATTGATCATTCGCATCAGTTTAATTAAGGATGGATGACCGCCGACTGTCACCCCACGAAGGAATCTCCCCTCCGTGTCGAACACGGTGGGGTCAGAAATGTCCAAGGAGTGGTCGAAATTGACATTATCAGGATGGAAACTGAGGGGAATGGTTTCACGGCTGCTAGATAACAAATTGGATTGGGGGTCTCGTTCATAAACGTAAACTGCATCGCTCCCTGAAGAAGCCACGATGACCTCTTTCCCAGTTGGCGTTACGATGATCCCGTTCGTAAACGCGATGTTACTGGCTACGATTACGCACTTGAGATCTTCAGGTGAGGAAAAGTCCACAAAGGCAACCCAGCTCCATGGCATCGAGAAGGATGTTTCGATTTTGTTCCAGAAAGGTCTGGTTCTCGCCATATAGCGATGGTCGTTCGTGACGTAGAATTGTGTGTAGGAGACAGGTGCGATAGAATTTGGCGATAGGATAGCCTGGTCGTTATCAGATATTGTTGTAACATACTTCGCTTGAGATAAGTCATAGTCGACGTCGAATACCGCCACGGTACTCCCAGTTCGCTGATGATTGGCAACAAACAGCCTTGTCTTGGATTTTGGGGAGCTACGGAAGAAGTTAATCCCAAGAGGGTGGAAATCGATATTATCAGGAAAGCCTGTAAGTTCTAGTTCCTTGATGGTGCCTGCTGCCGCATAGTCGTAGACATATAGGCTCCCCCTCGGGTCCGGGTTCTTGAAGATTCCCTGCGCGAGTATTTTAGATGTCGAGCTTTGGAATAGCACGGTAAATGCCACTCTTTTCATCTCTGGGTAATATTCACCATGACAGTATTCCATTCTGATCTAGAGGGGTCAAAGCTTATTATCGCGAGGCCATGATCATGGTCGATGACGATATCCTCCGAGTATTTGATGGTATCCGCGAAGCGGATGTCAGCGGACCCCCCCTCAAACGGATGCCATGCTCGCGGCAGATTGTGGACAGTATCTATCTTAGTTACGAGGGGTCTATAGAATACCGTGGACAGCGTCCCTATAAAAATTGTCAAGGCGGCAGCCGTCTGATATGCAGTTAGTATATATAGGTGGGTTTAGCTTCCGCAACGAGTACGGACCTTGCCAATTGTAGAGAGCGCCATGATATGTTGTTCTATGTGATGCCCAGGAGATTAAGTCAAAAAACTCGCCGAAAAAAACAATGTCAATTGATGAAAAAAAAAAAAAAAAAAGAAAAAGAAAAAGTTCCAGAATCCACATGGAAGGAAACATTTTAAGCTGAAAATTTAGTTAACTTAGGCCTTCCGGAGACTAGATTTCAGCCGTTATTTGCAAGGCTGGCTAAGAATTTTCCCAGCCCAGAATTACACGTGCCTTCGCTAGCCCCACTACTCCTGCAGTTAGTGTGCCTCACCACAATGTAATTATCACCACAACAAAATTTTTCATCAAGAATGTAACTTCAATGTCTTGATATATTAGAATCACTCTCTTTATCAATGTAAAAAAAAAAATGTCACCTGCAACTCTGTCATCTAATATTTATTAATTCAATATTTATAATTTTTTTAATTTATATCAGAAATTGCTTGAATCTCTGCAGCTTGACAAGTCTATTTCATACAGTGTTAATAATTAACTCATTTTCAATTCTTTTAAATATTAGTCACTTTTCAAATTTCAATCTGTTTATTTATATTTTCAATTATTATTATATCTTCTATACTATATACTTAATAATATATATTTTATATAAAAATATTAAACAGTTTGAAGATGATGTATAAGAATAAGTACTTATAGATAATTATTCAGATGTTTACAGCTTGATATAATAGATACTATTAACTACTAGAAGTATTCATAGTAGAAAGATAAAATGTAGAGATTAAATGTATATTAGCATTTAAGCTGAGTTATAAATAGTATTCACAAACTTCAGTCTATATAGTTATATATAGTCAAGAGCTGCTAACTCTATTAATTATATAAGAGATAGAAATAGAGATAAAGAATTTATAAGAAGCAGAATTTCTTATATATTCTCTTCTCTCTAAGACTTCATCTGTGAAGTCTTTCACTGAGTTATTTCATAGAATCAAACTCAGTACTGTAATAATACTTACTAAAAATTCTTCATATCTATAAAAAATCTCAGTGAGAAAAAATCCCTTATTACTATAAAGAAAAAAGAGTCTGTTACTTAGTTTCTTATTTTATAAGATTCTTTATAGTTTACAGATCTTTCTCTGATTATTATACAGATTCATCTTATATCTTTTATACAGAATAGTTTCAGTTAATCTTTAATTATTTTTTTATAAGATTATTATATAATTATTACACAGATTTATTTCATAGATAAATTACTTTCTGTGAGATTATTCTTATTAAAGAGAAGTATTTATAAGTTAATATTTCACTTATTCTTATAAATTATTATTCTTTGATACTGTAGAGTAATATGAAATTTTTCATTCTTTCATCAACTCTGTAGAATTGTAAAATCAAGATATTCACAGTCTGTAATTACTCTTTATAATTATATAGAAAGATTCAGAGCTGTAATTTACAATCACTCTTTATTTACTAGAGTAATTTAATTATTTTATAAAATCACTTATAGTGTAAATAAATCTCTCTAGAGTAGTATAAATATCTCAGATCTATTTATAAAATCTTATCTTCTTTTCTCTTTTTCTATAATAGCTCTTATTCTTATAAAGTGTGAGTATATTTATTCATCTGTGAAGTATTTTCACTTAAATAATAGAGAGAGTGTGTTTCTAATAATATCTGTATATTAATTCAAGAACTTCTTAAGAATAAAAATTTTTCAATTTCAATATCTTTATAAATAATATCTGATTATTGCTGAACTTCTTGTAAGTGTCTCTGTAACTTCTCTAATCACTTTTTATCAGCTAATAAAGTAGAAATATTATTACTTATCATAGTATCTTTACTTCTCTTAGACTTATTACTATACTTAATCTTCAGATTAGTAGTTAACTCTGTATCTTCTTCAGAACAGTCTCTAACTCTTAGTAGTATAGTTTTATTCTTTACTATAAGTTTCTCTATAAATGATTCTTACAGACTCTAGTTAATAGTTTCTATAAAGCTCTTAATACTGTCAGTACTCTCTATAGTTCTGTATATTTATAATTACTCTTTATCTATCTACATAATCTCTGATCAGATATATGTAAATATACTTAGATTCTTTATCAATGATTCTCATATCACAGTATATTTTCATAATTTTATTATTAATAAGAGATAAGTCTCTGAGTATCTGTAAAATTCAGATAATTAAGATAATGTAAATATTATAAATTTATAACAGAAGTTAATCTGAGTAGATAAGCTCTCTTTTCATATTTCAATTATTTTCAGACTGAATACTTCAGTATAACTGAGAGAGTGAAGTGGG